CTACTTTCTTTTGCAGTAAGGTATATTCAGACTTCAAAAAGAGAATCCAAACAAACCTGGCTCAGCAACAACGTTGATTAAAGGAAATAAATCCGGTGTTTGCTGTGTCAGCTGCAGAGGTACAAATCGCACTGAAGATGCTACAGTTTCAGAAACCAAAGGGCTTTTATATGTGCACCTTTCCAAAGCTAGAGCCATCTGCCTCGATCTTCTAACTCACTCTGTTTACATTTATTTACTCTCTAAGGTGTTACCTGGCCTAGTGAAACTTTCAGTTTATTTGCTTAAGCAGGGATTACAAGCGGCCTGTTTGTCTTTCAGAGCTTCATATGAAACTGTAGGCTGGCCGCAATGAAAAGGCTAGCTGGTTCCTGCACCTGTTTGCCATCTTGCGTCTACCTATAGATTAGAGTGGGGCTTTTAGTTTTTGGTTTTCAGCCAAATCAAACAGGAAGTCAGAACTTCTATCCCCTTTTGCGAGCAAAGCGGGGCATGTGGACTCCAGGGCTTGTACTATGCAAATGGAAAGGGGGATGGGTGGTGCTCCCAAAATAGGAAACTGACTCCCCTCCTCAAAACACTCATACTTCTTTTAAAATAAAAAGTAGTAAAAGAACACTGGCCTCACTGAGAAAATGATATAATCCATACCTTGTAGAAGAAGAGGGCAGTGTACCGAATCTGGAACTAGTTTTGAAGCACCTGGTGGATTTTCATTACTTGTCGGAGATCTCTTTCTCGCTAAAACCGTAATTAAAACCAGATTTGGAACATGTCCTGAAAGCCAAATTATAATTTAACAAGTGGAGCTGGCTGGTGGTATTCATTGTCCATCTGCAGTCATCATTTGCTGTATGAAACGGTAAGGCTGACTTCACAAAATGCATGTCTCGCCTAACTGGTCCCTAGTTGAAAAGGATGTGATTCTCACAATCGAATGGACACTTGTGTGCCTCCAGACACACCCTCCAAGAGATGAACTGTTAGCGAGGGGTCAGGGGCTACAGACCTCTGACCTGATCTTTTCACCTCATTGCTAGGCTGCAATAGTGATGCTCAGAGCCTGCCTGCCCCTCAATCCAGCTTTGGGCTCAGTGGAGATTAGGGAAACAGAGACAATATAGCTTGGTTCTGTACTCAGTCCATTTGTATTCATTTACCTTTAGCCTTGTTTCAGGGTTTCTGTAGGAACATATAACCCCAAATTGTCAGGAAGACAAGGAAGAGAAGATAGCATAGTACTTTATGCATGAGATAGCAAATTAAAAGCCCCGTGAAAGAGGTGGCCTTTAACTTGCTATCTCATGCAAAATCTCAGAGTGATCCTTTTATCATCACTATATTGTTCGCAGACATATGTCTGTTTTCCCATCTCCCATCAGTCTTGAATATGAAAGTTACTCCAACAATACTGTGGATGAATTTCTCCTAATTTTGATTAGGAATTTAAATTCAGTTTTCTCAACATGGTGGTTTTCAGGTGCATTCACCATAATTCCTGTGAATGGGGGTGATAGAAGTTATAGTCCAGCATACCCGGACAGCACCAAGTTGGGGCGGGCAACACGAATGTTTATACTTTTGTTTGTTCAGTGTTGGCCTCTAGTTTTGCAGATTTGAACACAAAAACAAAACAAGGCAACCAAGATAGTATGTCCTTGCACTGGAAAAAACAAGCATACCACATGCATTTTGTGTATTCTGTGAAGGCTGTGTGTTTTCAGCTGAGCATGAGTAAATCTGTTTTCATTCAGGTAGTTATGGTCATTTGTGTAAAACTGATGTGTTTGAAAGTAAAGAATGAGTTTAGATTGGGCATAAGCATACAGTAGTAGTCGTGCTGGGGGCGGGGGGGGGGGGGCAGTCTGGGAGCTGCAGTCCAAAACAGTAATGTTCCATAGTCTGCTTCTAACTACCCACCTAATCAATACTTGCCCAATCCAAATATTCCTTAACTGTTGTTGGTATTTTGTCTGGGAAGGAAACATAATCTAGAGCAGTGGTTCTCAATCTGTGGGTCCCCAGATGTTTTGGCCTTCAACTACCAGAAATCCTAACAGCCGGTAAACTGGATGGAATTTCAGGGAAAACACCTGGGGACCCACAGGTTGAGAACCACCAATCAAGAGGCACTTTTATTTTCCTCATTCTAAGATGCTTCTAAGTATCAGCAAGGCTTTTAAATTATCAGCCCCATTGTTGTAGAGCAGCCTTGTTTTCTGGGACCCAGGGAAGGTATGTGTGTGAATGTACCTTCAAGCTGCCTGATGCCTTATGGTGACCCCATAAATTTCATAGTTGTTTTTTTTTAGGTTCATAGGTTTTCTATGTTTCTGCCAATTCCTTTCTCTGAAATCTAGCTTACAGAATCTGGTATTCATTGGTGGTCTCTCATGCAAGTGCTAACCAAAGTAGACCTTGCTTAGCTTCCAAGATCAGATGGGATCTGGTGCCTTTGGGTATTTAGGTCTTAACAATAGCTCTTCTTCAGTAGCAGCTATTTTGCTTATTTTCTGCAGAGCTGCTGCCCAGATCTTCAGGGCAGCTGAGGCCAGGGCCAGATGCCAGGCATTCCAAACACATGCCTCTGATCAGTGAAAAGTGGAGCAACGTGGACTTGTGGCACAGAGTTCAGAGCGGGCAGGCAGGAGGTGAGATGGACGAGAGGACCTTTATAAATGGGCACATGGTAGACGTAGAAAAGGTTGCGTATTGTCCAAGGGCAGTTAGGCACATTCCAGAAAGTGCAAAAGGGGAACAGGTGCTGAGATAGAAGGGGTTAAAAATTAACTTCCTCAACCTAGCACAAAGGCCACCTAATGAAAGTGAGAGCTTATGTGTGCTTTCCTGTCCTTTCCACTTTCTATTTGTCTGACTTGTCCTTATTGGCTGAGATGCCCCGCCTTCCGAAGATAACTCTCAGTTCAACATAAGCACAATATTCCTGATTGACTTCTCTTTTGATTTCTGGGACAAACTCTAGATTAAATTTAAACCGATGGCTAGAAGGCTTTAGGCTTTCCTCATCATTGCTATCTTTCCATTTGTCCTAATGTCTATCTGAGAGGAAGAACGTAAGTCCTTGCTTCTCATTCCTCTGGTCATTTTGTTGCAAGACATGACTCATGATGATGCATGGGTCTGCGTGAGCTCTCCCTTTTATTTTTGGAGATGAAGCCCTTGATTTCAAGGGCAGTCCTAAGAGAAGGGGAAAAGGGGAAGCTGTAGCAATATCTCCAGTGGCACAATTTATGCAGGAGCCATTTACATCAGAGGCAAAACATATATTGGTAACTTCCCTGGAACACTTCTGGGGAGGTATGGTCGAAGGCTTTCATGGCTGGAATCACTGGGTTGCTGTCAGTTTTCCGGTCTATATGACCATGTTCCAGAAGTATTTTTTCCTGATGTTTCACTTCTGGGAGTTTTCCTCTGAAAATAACAACAACAACAACAACAACAACTTTATTCTTATACCCCGCCTCCACCTCCCCAAAGGGACTCAGGGCAGATTACAAAAGGACAAGCCCAGAGAACACAGAGTTAAAACATAATGCAATAAAATAAAATAAAACCAAATAGAAACATATCACAATAAAACATAACATCATAAAAACATTACCATGGGAGCAATAAAAGTGCTGAGTTCAGAATACTCTTTCCTACCAGTAGCTTGGGGCAAACTACAGACCACAGTTTTGAAGCTAATGGAATTCACTCTGTATCAATTGGTGTCTACACATCTGACAAAATTATGCTTCCTTTGATATTGGGCTCTGCAAATATATTGTTCGACTGCAACTCCCATTGGTCCTAGCTGGCATAACCAATGGTAAGAAATTCTGGGTTTTGTACTCTGACAACATCTGAAGGGAATTTTGGATGGTAGAGCTGTAACTCTTCACTTCTTTTAGGATGCATGGGGAGGCCTCTCTTTCCTTGTTGTTGCTGGGAGACTTAGTATTATGTGTCCTCCCAGATCCTTTTACAGGATTAATGCTGTTCCGCATTCTTGTCCGATAGAAGAAACGAGGTTATGCTGGATTCCGTTGTAAATTCAACCCAAGGAGCACATTGTCTTTTCAATTCCTTTGAAAAGGGATTAACTGCATCTATTCTCTGCTGCTCTCACTTTCTCTCTCCTCCCCTTCGTTTCCGTGTAGAGGAATTTTCATAATAAAGAAATCTGAGCAAACTTTGGAAGGTTTGCTCCTGCCGATTCAGATTTCGGCCAGCTGGTTGAATTTGGGGAAAGTTTCATTTTGCTACCCACTCTTTTTTTTCAGAAAAGGAGCCTTTACCTACGTTTGATGGCTTCTCTTTCAGTGCCAACATTTTATTTGTTGTGTTTTCTTTTAACCAGGTTGGAGTGACTTGGTCTCAAGTCAAATGCTTGTGGGATAACTGAACTGTTTTTGATTGCATCAGATGAAGCTATTGACCTTTTATGTCACATGCACTGGTTAGAACAGAAAGACATACACTTTAAGCAAGTGTGACTCTGCTGTTTTAAATCAATCTATATATTTAATGCTCTATTTTTAAAGAGTAAGAGAAAAGTATTATTTCTTCTAATTAAACTTCATGTATACATTTGGGGAAAAGGTGTCACATCAGTGTTTGTTAAGGGATTGTCTGTTTGGTTAGTAGATTGGCTCTTGCATTTCTTCAGTTGTCAATATAAATGTCATTTTCTGTGTACTGAACCAATGCTAAATCAATAGTAAAAAATACAGGGTGACTGGTATTTTCACACACATTGACAGACCTTTGTTTCTAACTACTAATAATAGCTTGCTTTCTGTAATTTTGATACAGCTTTGTTTTGAGAGTTTGCCCCCACCTTATTTTTAGTTGAAATTCATTTTAGATCTCATCAATTCAATAGATTTGTCATGGCTTTTCTGCTCCCAGTACTGAAGGCAGTGGAATGATTGCATTTCCAGGAGCAAGGAAGGAGATTATCCCATTGCTAATCTTCTTGTTCCTTCAATTTCCAGGTTGCTATCAAGTCTATTCGGAAAGATAAAATAAAGGATGAGCAGGACCTTATCCATATCCGGAGAGAAATAGAAATAATGTCTTCCCTCAATCATCCCCACATCATTGCTGTCCATGAAGGTATGAATTTGTTCCAAACAGTTTAATTTGATTGTATTGGTCTAATATCTTGTTTAACTATTGATATCATCTTGGTGCCAGACACCAACAACCCAAGCCTGAGCCTACAAAATTGCTGGGTTGGGAGATTATGTGATATTGTAACCTTTGGGGTAAAAATTCTCACTCTCTCAATATGACACCCAAGGCATCTTACAATAGTCAGATCTTCACATTTTCAGGTCTGACTTTTGTGGATTTGATTACTCAAGGATTACTCTAGAAACCTCCAAAGGGCTTCTATGGTCATCCTTTGCCAGAATCTTTAGGTCTTCAGTCTAATTCTATGATTTTGGGGAAGATCACTATAGAGTTATGCCGGAGGATTTAGAATTCCTAGAGTGGTATTCTCTCAGGTAACAATTATAGTTTTTTAAAATATATGTATATGTTTTCCCCCTTTCACAGGGGCATTATGCTCTTAACCTCAGCAAATGTAGAGGGTTGGCTGAATATAAATAATACAAAGTTTCACTAATTAAACAGTGCTAATTGGCATGACCAATGGTGGAAGAAGAAGGGAGCTGTAGTCCAATGAATAAAATTAAAATCTAATGGTCCACACATTACCCTGCCTTATACAATATCTTTCTACTCCAGTCTGAAATTTACTCCCTTACTTTGGCTGAAGGGTGAAGAAATGCACAACTTCCAGTAATGTCACAAAATACACAACTGAATCATGACGCTCACTTCTTCTTAGCCCCTGAAAACCTGGAGTTGAAAAACTGTTGTAATGGGAAGCTGATTACAAACTGTTTTGAAGGGAAGCTGACTACAAACTATGAGGAAACAAAACTTATGCAGAACTTCTCCCTAAGCAGCTGGCAACCACATTCTCTTCCTTGTTGCCCACTTTAGTGTTAATGTAAAAGTAAATGACGTTATTCACCAAAAATGGACAACTTAAGACAGTGGGAAGGTGGAAGCTCTTAGCAGACTCTGCCTGAGGCACAACTGGATGACTCACCCAGAGCACTCAGCTCAAGAGCACTAGCGTTCCCATCTGCTTTTTAGTCCTTGCTTCCTTATTTTTAGTCTTTCATATTGTGTACAAAACAATGTATGGTAGGAACACATGCTCATAAAAATAAGTCCCCAGTACTTTGAACCATACAGCTAAAGGGTTGTTTAAAGTTACTCCTTTTTTTTACTCCACAAATGAAGTCTGCTGTAATAGCCTTTATTCAGACATTATATCATTGTTCGTGTGGGCAGACATGTAAAATATTGTAAGGATGAATATAGGTTTCCTTTAATATAACAAGAAGGTTTTGTTTCATAAACCTGAACATTCTGTTTCATACTTATCTTAGCTCTTATGATCCACAGATACCTTGGATAATATATAAAATTAAGATCATAAAATGATACTAGATCTGATCTGAGCTTTAAGCTTTTACGCTAGTGCCATGTACATTGAAGGCACTATAGAAATAAATACCAATAATAAATTAGGAAAATGTGCCCAACCTCTTCAAACAACAGTCCCAGTCATTATTGGGTATCTACCTGCTGTGTACCTGCACCTTGCTTCTGTTCTAACCTGTGGCAGTTCTTTGATGTGAAGATATGTAGGATTTAAATGTAACCTGCCTATTTATATCTGCATTGATTCAATGAGCAAGCGTTAAGCCATCAAAGTATTTATTATATTGTTGTTTTAAGTAACTACATTGGCCTTATATAGAGAGCATGTAGAGCATTGAACAAGGGTGGTTCCATAGGGCAGTGTTTCTCAAACTGTGGCGCTTTGGACTTCAGTTCCCACAATTTTTTAACAGCTGGTAAGATGGCTGGGATTTTTGGGAGCTAAAGTCCAAAACACCTGGAGAAGCACAGTTTGAGAAACACTACCATAGAGTTGTTTAGGTTTTCCGGGCTATATGGCCATGTTCTAGAAGCATTCTCACCTGATGTTTCACCTGCATCTATGACAGGCATCCTCAGTGAGGTCTTAGAGATGCCTCCCATAGATGCAGGTGAAACGTCAGGAGAGAATGCTTCTAGAACATGGTCATCTAGGCAACGTAAGATCTCTCATCCTCAGAGGAAGGAACATGGTCATATAACCCGAAAAACCTGCAACAACCCAGTGATTCTAGACATGAAAGCCTTCAACAATAAGCTACCACAGAGAACTGGAGTGATACTGTAGAGTTCTCACTATAGCCATGGAGAAGTAGAATCATGAATTAGAATAGAAATAAAGGCCACAGAGTTGTCAGCCATCTTACACAGGGTCATTCCCCTCTCCTTGTTTGTTATAGTATTTGAAAACAACAGCAAGATTGTCATTGTGATGGAATATGCCAGCAAAGGGGATCTCTACGATTACATTGCTGAGCGCCAGAGACTGACTGAGCAAGAAGCCCGGCACTTCTTCCGTCAGGTGGTGTCTGCTGTCTACTACTGTCACAAGGTGAGTTGAGTTTACTGGCCTACTTGATATCAAAGGCTCCCTCTAGAATGCTCAGGAAATCTTGACAAAGAAAGAGTCATCTAGAAGGATCTCTTTGGACACCTTCCCATACAGAAGCTCTTTATCCAGGATTCAGCCTGTCTTTTTCTTCCCTGTAACCATGCAGTGTCAGAAATGGACTCCTAGAGTGAGATTTTATTATGGGAAATTTCAATATGTGGCATATAGAAGTTACTGTAAAGTTTTTTTGTAGATGGCAAAGGTATTTGCATCTTTTATCTATCTAATCTTATTATAAAACAGAGACAAAGTTTAGGTATTCTTAGCTCCCAAAGGAATGATGTTAATGGAAAAGGTGGAGTAAAAAATGAAAGACACTTGTCCACTTTGCATATCTGAACATAGTGGGGCAGTTCAGGTCAGACATGAATAGTTCAATCCTATCCAGGCATGGGACTGGTGCACCATCCCCATAGAGAAATTGCCTCTGAACTATGGCCTACACCACAGTTATGTGGTGAAATCTGGGAACTGACCATGTGGGTTTGACCTCCGAGCTGTTTGCATTTGAAATTTAGTCATAGTGCTATTTTTATCAGCTTCCGCACTACCCTCAGTGAAACGCCTATAGCTATCAGGCAAGGTTAAGGTATCCTAATTTGAATTTCACTTTTATTTAACACAAGACGGCCAAGCTAAAGAGAAGAACTTAAAGGTGTGCCTCTTAAAAAGAATGTGACAAAATCTCTTTACTTCCAACTGCTATGCCACTAAATCCTTATGACAAAAAACCCTGCCCACACCATAATCTTTGTTTCACTGAACATAAAAACTTTTCAGAGAGAGGAAGTTTCTGCAATCTTTGTTGAGCACCAGAAAGTCTGATCTTTGTATGGCTGTCTTTATTGTTCTTCTAGACTATCCAGCATACAATTTGCATACCAGGAATAATAAATTCCCTTACTCAATTGGAATGCACCTGTTTGTATTCACTCTGCCTTTTAAATCAAGAACAAAGCATGTAAAGTAATTAGCAGTAAAGATATAGAATTCCAGGTCTCTTAGGAATGTACTGTAGTCATTTATACTTCAATGTATAGTTTGAAAGAATGAATAGATACAATCTTCCAGAGTGGCTTGACTTCTCTTCCCTCCCAGAAAAAAAAAAAACCCCTGCTGACCTGCTGTTTTTTCTCTCTACAGAATGGAATTGTTCACAGAGATCTAAAGCTCGAGAACATCCTGCTGGATGCAAATGGCAACATCAAGGTGAGTGGAATCATCCAGTCCTCAATGGTTTGGTCAACATGTGACACTGAAATGCATGTATATGTTCTTTACCTTGTGGAGGCCTTGCTTCTTTAAAGCTGAGATTGCTTACATGTATTAACAAAACATGTAGAGCTGAAAAGCACCATAGAAAATTTTGTAATGAAACTTTAAATAGGAATTTTAAAAGGGCCTTAATATTCCAAAAGGAAGTAAATATAGACTGTGATTACCAGAAATTCTAACTTATCTCTCTTGTTGAATATACAAATATGAAGAGCTAATCCTAATGGTGACTCATGGCAGAATAAGGTACAAGAAGGAAAAGTTTCTGTGGTTTGTTTAAAAAATAAGTGAAAGACGCACTCATTTCCAAGGCAGGAAAAAACCCTTTTGAAAATAATCGATTAGACTAAGTAATTCAGTTGTCCGTTTGAGGTTTACAAATAATTCATCAAGCTTTAGCCAAGCCCTCTTGTACAAGGAGGATTGCTATATTTAGAGGATTAGTAACTTGCTTTTAGTAATTTGCATTCCTTCAGGATCTCTTGAGAAAAAGATTACACTGCAGCATTGAGCTACCCAGCATCCTCCAGACATATTAGACTATAATTTTCATAATTCCAGCTGGCATATCTGGGGTTGATGGGTTTGTAGTTTGACTCATTCGGAGACTGCTTGGGTTGAGCGGAAGGCCAGAGTAGGAACTGCTCTGACCACAGAATTTGGCTAAATGCTATATTGTTTAGTCATACTCAGTGCAGAGTAGTAAGTATTATTCAGAGATTATATATGTTACAATAGGTTGAAAATGTAATGCCGAAAAAGAAGTTCTTGCAGGTCTGTTGGCACACATATAAGGACATGGTAGAACATTTACCATTAAGACAACATGATGTAGTGATTTGAGTGTTGGACTAGGGTAGTGGTTTCCAACCTGTGGGCCATATCCCACTGGTGGGTTGCAAGTCCTAACATAAGATCCTCGGTTCTAGATTATTAAATATGGCTTTCTCTGGGTGAGCAGATGGTGACTACTGGATGGCATATGTTCTCTCAGGAACTAGAGCTGATGTGGTGTATCCAATGCAATTTTCTGAATCAGTGCTCCAAATAACCAAACCAAATCTAAAGTTGACCAAAAACTGATTCGTATCCCTTTTGGTAGTAATGTTGGAGAGTGGTCCCTGGTCACAGTAGTCCCTGGTCAAAAAATGGTTGGGAACCATTGAACTAGAGATATCAGAGTTCAAATCCTTGCCTGCCCATGGGAATCAACTGGATGATCTAGGCAACATAAGATCTCTCATCCTCAGAGGAAGGAAATGCCAACTTTTCTCTGAACCGATTATGTCAGGAAAAAAACCATGATAGGGTCACCACAAGCCAGAAGTTCTACCTCAAACTACTTTATGGGTGCTGGGTTTATGGGGATGGAAGAATACATCCTGGAGGGCTGGATTGATTGTGTCAGTCTATCAGTTTTCATTTTTCCTAACGTGTGAACAGAAAGTGATAGAAAAACACTGATTTCAGCAACGCTACTCAAAACTAGGAGGTTTGTCCAGTAGCCTCTTGGATTTAAAATGTGAGGACCAAAGTCACAAACTGTCAGAATTCTGCTGTGTAGTTTTAATTCTGAAAGCCTTCCATACAAGAGAGTCTATTATTTCTTAAGAAGGATCAAGCAGCCCTCACACAATGCAGATTTTTGTGCAGTTAATAATAAACAAAGCCCCACCATAGTCTGTTTTTACTGAACAATAGGCTGTTCCACAACAAGAAACCTGAAAGCATGTTCTGTACCTTCTAGTCTGTCTGATTGGCTGTAGGCTGGATAAACAAAGGTATTAAAATAATAGTATCCGTGAATACTTATAACTGGCACAAGTACAGCCGTAGAACAAGGGTGTGATAGTCAATCCCTAAAAGTATGGTACATGCTGAACAAATCTGCTTTCACTTTAAGAACTGAGTGTGCTTTTAGGGCTTCCATTTTTGCTCCTTGGTAGTTAGATGCACAATAGACAAACATTCAGTAAGTTCAAGCATTTTGTCCCTGTAGCTGTTGGCTGGGGTCAGCTAGCCCTGTTTTGTGCTTGTCATGGGTTTGAAAAGTCAATCAGAAAGGGAGAAGTAATGAGCCTAAAAAATTGATGCAAATTTCAACAAACAGAAGCAAGAAATTGTCTGACTTCTTGCTTTATAGATGGTAGCTCCACTGTGCTGTAACTCTGGGTTCATATTTCAAATCAAATTATTAATTATTTATTCATTTATATCCCACCTTTTTCCAGACATGGGATGCAAGGAAACTCACAACATGAATTAAAAGAATTAACATGAGGATAAATTGATATATAAGTGAATAAACCACATAAAGAACACCACTTGTTTAAATCAGCATGAAAGCATTAAAATCACAACAATAAAATACAAAATACAAAGTATTTTTACATTATTCAGAAACCCCTCTGTAAAGCCACCAAATTGTTGTTCATATATAAAGACCAGAGCCTTTCTTATGAATGAGAAATGAAATCTAGTGGTTCTGTTGTTAATTTTATGATCTTGAAACAACTTGTGACCCCTTGCACAGTGCTTCTGTGCATGTAAGGGGCTTCTCCTGGAATTACTGGAGGGTTTCTCTACTGGGAAGTACGCCTCCTATCTATATTTTATGTCTGCTCTGCACTTTTGTCTTCTGACACTGACAGCACTAACCTGTGACCAATTTTCTTCCTGCCAGATTGCAGACTTTGGCCTCTCGAATGTCTTCCAGCAAGACCGACTTCTGCAGACTTTCTGTGGCAGCCCCCTCTATGCATCTCCTGAGATAGTCAATGGGAGGCCTTACAAAGGACCTGAGGTAAGAGCTTAATACCTTGAATGTTGAATAAGATGGTATTAACCCAGCACAGCCACAAGTATTTCACTTGCAAGGTACCGTAGCTGAGATTTCAACCTTTCCCTGAGTTATTATAACATCATGGGCCTGTAATGCATTTTAATAGGTTGTATGTAGGATGTCTGTTGAGGAATACTTTCGTTGACAAGGGAAATGAGCTGCTTGGCACAGCATTAAAATGGGTCTGTACAAACCTTTGGTGTAAAGCAACAGCTGAAGAGGTTTTCTTGTTATGTCTTTATGGCTAATGCCAGTTAATGGTCTAGAAACAGAAGTGGCAAGAAGGAGGCTGTCTTGCATCATCTAACAGAGTTCTTCTCTCCTTGCAGGTTGACAGCTGGTCCCTTGGTGTGCTCCTTTATATTTTGATTCATGGTGCAATGCCTTTTGATGGTCATGATTACAAGACTCTAGTCAAGCAGATCACAAGTGGGGACTACCGAGAGCCAACCAAACTTTCAGGTAAGCAGACATGAGTAATAAGACTATTTATATTCTGCCCTATCTCCCTGAGGGGACTCAGGGCAGACAAGAGTAGAGGATCAATTTAAAGTAGCAGAATCTGCAGGTTTTTTCAGGGATAAAAATGCTGTAACCCTCCAGGGTCAAACTTCCATCAACTCCAGTCAACATAGCCAATGGCCATGAATAATAATTATAGTGCAGCAAGATCCACCTCTATTTTTAAGTATTGATTTATAGTTGTAACCTTTCCATTTTCATTACTCATTACTCATTACTTCATTACTCAGACCAAACCATCAGATGAAATGGGCAGTGGTGGAGTTGTGGTTTCAATCTTACCATGTACACTGTTTAATATGTTTAGGTTCATAAGAGTTGAAAGGGGTATCAAAACCAACCCACTGCTCAATGCAAGATCTCTACCTGGAGCATCCCCAGCAGATAGTTTCCCAGCATCTTTTGGAACTTCTCCAGAAAATAGTAATAATAATAACCATCATCATCATCTTTATTTGCTTTATCTCCCCAACGGGACTTGGTGCAGCTCACAGAAGCACTCAAAATGCCACATGAATACAACAATACATAAGTATAAATACAATGACATAAGTATAATAAATAGCTCATAAAAATCTCATTAATAAAATTATATTTGAAAATTATAAAATTCCTAAAATGCAGTGGAACCCTCAGACCTCTCAGGACAATTGATTCTATTGCCAAACGATTATGTCAAGAAATTCCTTCTAATGTTTAGTCAAAATCTACCTTCCTGTAACTTAAAGCCATTGGACTTAGCTCTACCTTCTGAGGCTGCAAAGAACCGCCTACCTCTTCTTCTCTGTGATAGCCCTTGAGTTATTTAAAGAGTGTAGTCATGTCACCCTTCAGTTTTCTTTCCACCAAGTTGAAAATGTCAGTAAACTGTTAAAGCAATGTTATTGTTTACACCACCCTGAGGTACCATAAAATAGGGTAGGATATAAATGTAATAATTACAATTGAAATATTGACATTTCCCAAATGGAAAAGCTAAATGGGACTCTGCCCTGACCTATTTCTATCGATTTCTTTGTTCTCCAGATGCCTGTGGCCTGATCCGGTGGATGCTAATGGTGAACCCAGAACGCCGAGCAACCATTGAAGATATTGCCAGCCATTGGTGGGTGAACTGGGGCTACAAGGTGCCAGTTGGGGAACAGGAGTCCTCACGTGACCATGAATCTTCATTAGCCACTGTAGCAGAGTGGCTGCGCCGGTCCTCAAGGCCTCTCTTTGAAAATGGCTCCAAGGTTCGCTGCTTCTTCAAGCAACACATTCCCGGTGTCACACTAGAAAGACAACGCTCCCTTAAGAAATCAAAGAAGGAGAATGACATCTGTCATGCTCTGCAAGAAACTGGTCCTCCTCCAGAGAACCCATCCAAATCTATCCTGAAGAGACCCAAAGGCATCTTGAAGAAGAGAAATTCCTGTGAGAAGACCCAAGTTTCTCCTCCTCTGGCAACAGCAGGTTCTGTTGACTCTTTGAAAGAGGAGAATGCAGGCTCTCCTATGGACCTGGCTTGTGTCTTATCATCCAGGGCTTTAGCCTGCAAGGCAGAAGGTGTTGTAGCCACCCCTCCCATGCCCAAGAAGGGAATCTTGAAGAAGCCTCAGAAGAGAGAATCTGGCTATTATTCTTCCCCAGAGCGTAGTGAATCCACAGAGGTTTTAGACTCTAAAGACCTGGATCTTGATGCCGATGCCTTTGCTGACAATAATTCATCTGCTCTAACCTTGGGAGACACTCATGCCAGACGGAAAGGCATCCTGAAGCACAATGGCAAATTCTCCTCCAGCAGCACTGAGTCAGAAGGTGTGCCTGCCAAGGTCTTCTCTACTTTTGTAGAGGTCAACTTGCCCAAAATGTCTATGGCCTCCCGTAGTCGTCCATCCAGCGCTGTGAGTGAGGATAGTATCCTTTCCTCAGAGTCGTTTGATCAGCTGGACTTGCCTGATCGATTACAGGCAGGTGGAGGAGCTCCCATGCGTGCAGCCATTTCTGCAGATGATCTGCTTCAGCTGGAAGAGACAGACGGGGAGATAGGGGCTCGCCGACTCCGGCGTTGGACAGTAACTCAGTGTCAAAACCCCCTGGTGGATAGCTCCTTCTCTTTAGCGGACTGTGAAAACGTCACCGAAGTCTATAAACGGGCTGTGGCTTTGAGCATGAAACTGAGCTGAAGAGTCTGTTGCCCTCCTGGCCCCAAAGGGACCTTTGATAATTTATATACACACATGCAGAGAGGTCTTGCAGCTCTGGCTTTGTGCTCAGAAAGAATGGCTTAGTCCCAAACTATTTGCACTTCCCTTTGGGATGGACAAGAAGGCTCTCAGCAGCCTGTGTCTTCTCCCTGACAGGGCAGGAAGTGCAACTGGCTTGAACTATTTATTTTGTTGCATACTTCTTGACTCTTCTCAGAATGTAAAGAGGTGAATGCTCCATGTTGTAACAATGACTTGTAAAAGTGGTACACAGGGTTATGAGCATGTGTTTGAGAGAGAGAGAAAAGCTATGCTCATAGAAAATTGATGGCAGTAGGAAATGTGCTAAGGGCAGTGCAGAGGGCTGGAGAAATGGGGAGATACCTACAATTGTTGTGGGAATGAGCTAGGATTAATGCAGGTGGGGAATGTGAAATTTTCTTGACCAGCAAAGGAGCAGGATGTTTTAGATTTAATTGTCCTGGAACACTTTCATCTCTCCAAACAGACCCTGATGATCATCTCTAATCCTAGGGACTAGGATGGTTATTTTGTTTGCACTGTGCTTTTTTGATTGCACAATATAGTAAGAGAGGTAGAAATGCCTCTGAAGTGGTACAATGCCATGGCCAGATGATGAAAAAGATACAGCTCTTGGCTGAAAAACTTGGTTGTGTTTTGGTATAAAGTATCTGTACTACAGTTTCAAAAAGTGGTCCAACTATCCTGCTATTCTCAAGCCAAAAGTGGTGGGGACGGAGCAGTGAAAGCTTGCTACATAAGCATCTTCCCGATAATCAACATCCAACAGGTCTTCAGATGAACCATGGCAGTTGACTGAAAACTTGGAAAGACCAGTTGCAGTCAGATTCAGATGTGCATTGAACACAGTCAGACTCATTATAGTTAAATTTTAATTTTCTGCACTTCCCATCTGTCATCAGAAATTTAATAGGGCTACTGCGTCTTGCAGTATTTGGATTTTGCAGAGAGGAAACCTTTCTCAAGGCCAGTGAATCAGAGAAGCTGTATCATCTCCTAAGGGTCCTGATGTGGTTTGTTCTGAAATGCATCTTGGCCAGGACTCTTTAAAGCAGTGGTTCTCAACCTGGGGGGTCCCCAGATGTTTCGGCCTTCAAGTCCCAGAAATCCTAACAGCTGGGATTTCTGGGGGTAGTAGACCAAAACACCTGGGGACCCACAGGTTGAGAACCACTGCTTTAAGGGAAGCAGCAGGGAGATCAAATCAAAGCCCCTGCCTTGGGAAGTGGGAAACTGAGATTGGATTTACATTTCAGACACAGCAGGCTTTTAAAGAAGTGGGCATCTTCCAAAACAGGATAAATGTATGTGCTTTTAAAAAGATATTTTGGATTGTCACTAAGATCCTAAAATATGTTAAAGAGATTCTTGGAAGTAAAGCTTTCAGTTATGTGTGTCTCCTGCACCCCCTCCCCAGTCTTCCAATCAGCATGAGGCTGGTACCTTCTCCAAGGTGCGGGGGGTAGCTGAGAAAAGAGAGGGCAGGAAGCCCTCCTTCCATGGTGAACATGATGATAAATGTTCCTTATGATCCAAGCCTATGTTGCCTTGAAGTCTTGCCTTGTCCCAGCAGAATTTTTCCCAATTCAGTATTTAAAATATTGCTTTTTTGAGTAATATGAATTTTTTGTCATATATCTGGAAAACTGGTTCAAGGCGTGTGTTTTTAAAGGTGAATTTCTAAGTTGAAGGAACATATTCTGCAAAACATCTCCACTTTGTAATCTTTTGGATTTGAAAATCCTATTGCACTATCTTGCCATGTTTTTTTCTGGTTGGCCTTCCAAGTTCTCTTTTCTGTTTTGTTATTTGCCCTGCTCAGATTGAGCAAAATGGGACTTGAACATTCCTATCTGTGTAGCTCTTCTTTTTGGATACTGTGGTTATGAAAGAAAGAATGAAATAAAGAGAATAAAATAAAAAGGAACTTATGTTTTGTTATTTCTACTGCCTCTTCACTGTCACTAGACCCATGTCACAATCTTCTTTTTCTTTAGTCTTTGAATTCTTTGGAATTTAGCTTGGTCCATAAATTGCTAAATAGTCTCCACATCTGAAAAGCTGAAGGTTTATAAATACTATGTGGGAGGAGCATACATATCATGGTTAGGAAACCAACAGCCAAGTTACTGACTAGAACTCCTCTCCCAGGGAGCCGGACCCTCCCTTCTGTGCATGCATAACCTAACCAGACGACCTTTTTATTTTGGCATGGACTAAGAATCTTGTACCTTTTTATATTGAATTGTTTTCAAGGGTTTTCATTTTAATAGTATTTTATATTTTTAAATGTAATTTTAAATCATTTTGATAACTTAATCCCATGGTAAAGTTTTTGGTCATATTGGGGTTTTTTTTTTAATTGTAAGTTTCCGGTAATCCCAGATTTGGAAGAAAGACATAATTATCATCTAGTAAATCTATGTTTTCACACCTAATTGTAGGTACAATTATAAGTACAGAAAATTGAAATCTCAAATGAGCAATATATCTTTATTCTACCTCTTTTTTGAAGACTTGAAGCCCTAAAAACTGTGATTTCGGACAGACTGCAGCAGAGCATTACAGAGCACAGATTTCATATACACAAAGAGCATTTTAACCACTCCAATCTTGATTAGTTTTGTGAAATAACTAATGCAAGGAAAAAGAGTTCAAAACAGTAGCAATGGCATCTGTTTGGGCTGTCATTTACACCAACGAACTTCTAACCAGAGGCTGGAAAAGTTACTTCTTTGGAATTCATCTTGTAGAATCCAGAAAAACATACTTCTCTCTTCAAGCTGTGCATAAGAAACATATGTACAAGCTGTACATAAGAAACTAAAAGGTAGGCAAATTTGAACTGATCAGGGAAAAGCTGACCATCTTAACATCCACCTACCCATTTAATTCTAGGCAGGAGGAGACTGAAAAGGTTAATGAGGAAATTACAGGTGTTGCCTTCTGTTGGGAGTGTAACAGGGTTTGCTCTGTGTACCAGCTCATGATATAGGAAACCATATTATGACCTTGCCATAGCCTGGAGGGACAGCAGAAAATCTTCCTCTTGGAGAAAAATACATTTGTGAAAAAGAGGAAGCAGAAGCAAATGTCACCAGCTGCACAGTCAATTTCTGCAGACTTCCACCTTTTCTGACGTATATTCCATTATGACTTCATGTTGACCTTTTAAGGAGAGCGAAAAAAGAGAGTGCTTTGGTTACATCAAGCAATATGATCATGGCTACGGGCAGCTTTATTTTCAATCCCTATATGATGGTTGAGAGCCAATCTGAAGTAGTGGTTTGAGTATTGGGTCATAGTTTTATTCTCCACTCAACCATTAAAACTCACTGGGTGTCCTTCGGAAAGCCCTGTTCATCTTAGTGTTGCCATAAGTTGGAAACGACTTGAAGGCACACAACATCAACAAATCCCTAACCCTGAACTTGCATTTTGGCAGCTAATGCATACAGAGTTAAGATTTTTATTTAGTTATCCATGATCAGAGCCCTAACACCTCTTCTCTGGTCAATCAATCCCACACAGTCCAGAGAGCTCCCATACTAATTTGTCTCCTTTTCTTTTAACCACACTAAACAAATCATAAGCAAGCCCAACTACCTGACCTCTGGCATTTTAGATGGGAAGCATTGACATGGCTTTTCACAGGAATGCAGTCCCAGAAGTGTGCTCTTCTAGTGAGGACACTTTTCCAGTGAGTCCTACATTTGACAACTCTTGAATAAAGATAACCAAAAGAAAGAAGAACAGGGATCATGAAGCTGATTGTCATAAGCTGGCTCTTAGGCAAGTACCTAAGTGGTAAGATAGGTCATATTTCTGTTTCTGTTATACTAATTATTTCTAGATTTGCATCTTTTACATATTTATTGGTGCATTCACATTTGGTGCATATTTCTTATAAGTCTGGCAAGAACATGACTTCTTCTGAGAATGAGAAGATTGAATGGGCTGTCTTGTGGAAGATGGAGCAAGCTTGTTTTCGGATGCTCTAGCAAATGGGATCTAAACCATTGGATTCAAATTATAAGAAAAGCAAACCCTAGCAAACATTGGGGAAACTGAGAGTAGAAGCTGTTCAACAGTAAAACAGACTAAATCGGGAAGTTTTTTGAAGTGAAATGTTTATCTTTGGTCAACAGGACTGGATTTCTGCAGTGACATGAGGTGGACTATCTAGTCCAAGGGTCCTCAAACTAAGGCCTGGGGGCTGGATATGGCCCTCCATTTACCCAGCTCTTGCTCAGGGTTAACCTAAGTCTGAAAGCACACAACAACAACAACAACCATCCTATCTTAAAGTGCAGTTTCTCCCAGCACAGTTGTCTTATATAGGGTGAACATTTCTGTTGAGGACCAGCCCTGCTATAGACTCAACATTTCTGGGTGGTCTTGGTTTGATAACAGCCAGATATCTGTCTTTGAAAAGAATGAAATAATCTTCACTGATTTGCTTCTTGTGGCCCATGATTGCAAAAAGAACTTGGACACACACACAACAACTATAAACTTAGAGCTTGAAGGCTACTAACATTTTCTCTTCCTTCCTTTGCTTTACAGAAACCTCATTAGGAGAAGGGCTTGAAAAATCTGTACAGAGAGTTTTATGATATATGGAATTTTGAGTTTTTCTTGTACTTTAGTTTATATGGGAAAGAATGTGTGTGTGTGTGTGTGTGTGTGTATCCCACCAAACTATACATCCCAGGATTCAATTTAATGGAGCCAAAGTTGTATCAAACTTCTATAACTCTGCAATACATATATATTCTAAAACAGATTAAAATGTCTGTGTTCTGTGCATATTTCCAAAAGTATCATGGGAGATTCTGCTTTTGGGTACAATGAGAGAATAGGCAATAGGAGGGTAAGTTACAGATCAGGCTTTCATCATTTTGTGGACCAGAGAAATACTTCTGCAGTGTAAGTGAAAGGCTTGTCTTGGGGATAAAGCGAGAGGAGGTGAGGGGTGGGGCAGAGTCTGGATAGCGGAAAGAGTTCAAAGGCACCCAGAGAAGATCTGGCAGAAAATGTTTATTATCAGAGGGGATACCCCCTAATCCCACTGCTCACAATGGGGCCTGCCAGCGCATTCCCTGCCTTGAAGGTCGACACTTTACTGAGGCCAGGGCTCCATCCTATTAACATTCCTGGGCAAGATGAAAGCAGCCAGCCAACAGCCAGACAAGCTCCCTGAGCAGAAACAACACCTGCTAATGCCATGTGCTCAGTTGCCTTTTTAAAACAGAAGCACAGGAT